TTGTGCATACAGAACTGGGGTGCAGGCCAGAGGCTCAGGGGCGGTAAGAGGCTTCACCAGAGACAGAGTGGGGAACAGAACAGGCAGATCAAGAAAGCACACTGCTGAGGGGAGCAGCAAGCGAGTCAGGAGAGGTCTGCCACACCATGTGGTCACCTCGGGGGCAGGTGGGAATCGAACTCATGTAGAAAAGGCTTTAGATTCTCAGTGTGTGCTTTAACCCGCTGCACCACCAGGGAGGGCCGCTTGCTACTACTTTTAAACAACCTAGAGGTCCAGGCCAAGAAGTGACTTGTATTGGTATTCACCTTGAATTTGAGTCATATGTGTTCAGGATGATAGAACAAGGTTATCCCCACAGAGTCTGAATGACACATAGCAACCTCATTAAAAGTGTGGCTGTCTTTTTTTCCCCCTCAGTCTCAAAGACCCACTTTTCTGGAGGGGCTTGGAGCAGAGAATTATATAGTACATGGTTGTCAAGAAAGTGTGGCTTTACAACGCTATATTCCTTCTGAAGTATTATGGGCCTACTGTTCCTTAAGTAAAAGGGCTAAATGAACAAAGGATTTCATACAAGTGTATTAAGTATTATCATAAGCATCTGAGTTGACCAAATAAATTCAGACACTAAACAGCCTGAGATATATGCCAAACTGCAGTAATATCTAGTGAATAATAGAATTCACTTCCACCTAAAGAAGTGATCCAATTCAGGAGTATGTCACCTGGAAAATAAACTTCCCAGTTTGAAAATTGGATCCAATAGTTATTTTGACATGCTTGTTACACTGCAAAACCAGCAGGAAATATCCAGGATTTAAATTGAAAAAGCAACCTAATAATGTCAGATATAGAAAGATAAGCGGCTCTGATAACTTAATAACTCATTTATTTTGACTTTCCTACCCAGTAATAACTGACTTCATCTAGCCTCCCCTGGTAGAGTTATCCTCAAATGCTTATGAAACTCATCAACCTATTCATGGAGTCAAACAAAATAAGTTAAATTAAAAATTGCCAAAGATATAAACTAAGGAGACAAAAGATAGTTTTTTCAGAATCTTAATTGTAATTTAAATTGAGGCTATGTCCATCAGATGTTTGGGTTAATCTTAAGAGTTAGTGATAAAGGAAGCCAACATCTATTATTACATTTACGCATCTTTTGTAGGAGTCAAACACCTCAAAATAGCAGAAAGGATTAAAAAATATCCAAAGTTCCCATCAAGACACAGATGAGCTAGCCTTTAAGGAAAATGGTTTGGATCTCAAGTGGCTAATTTTCAAAAGGCTCTAACCAAAACCAACACACCAGAAAATGCCCCTGGAAGCAAATCATGTGATTTTAATGTTTTGAAGTTAAAGGTTTGAAACATTTGATCATCATCTCCAGAACAGAAAAACACTTCTCTATAATTCTAAATGCCTATGACTCCTTTCCCCTTTTGTCTCCCATAAGTGGTCAAGCAGAGCCTCACCTGTCCTGTCAAGATGTAGGGACTCTTACTAGTATTCTCCTAGATTTGCCCATGGCTGCTATGGTGGCAAAATACTGCATCATGCTTGGTGTTCACAGTCTTTCCATCAACAGTTTCTCCTCTGTTATTAGACATTCAATTACACAGTTAACTGGTTCAGATTACAAATGCAATGAAAGCAGTATTTTTCTACATAGTCTCAAGTAAGACAGGAAATTTTTATTGAACAATATGGAACTTAAGGGCCCTCCCTGGTGGCGCAGCGGTTAAAGCACAGCACTAAGAAGCTAAAGCCACTTCCGGATGAGTTCGATCCCTGTCTGCTCCAGAGGTGACCACATGGCATGGCAGACCTTTCCTGACCTGCCTGCTGCTCCCCTCAGCAGTGTACTTTGTCGATCTGCCTGTTCTGCTTCCTGCTCTGTCTCGGGTGAATCCTCTAATCACCCCCTCATCTCTGGCCTGTACCCTAGTCTGTATGCATAAATAAATAAATCTTTAAAAAAATATGTGGAACTTAAAACTGAAGATACAGACATTCAATCAATTTCAGAAGGGGGAAAAGAAGTATAAGCAAAAATCTGGAGACAAGAAATGTCAAAATCTTCTAAAAACATGAAGCTTACTCTTCATGGTCCTATCATCTCTGCTAATTAGAAACAAGTTTTCTCATTACTGAGTGTTCAAGAGACTCATGTATATTAAGATTACTACATAGTCAAATCCTGTCTTTTTTCTCAGCTGGCAGTTGGACTTAAAAAAAAAAAAAAAAAAAAAAAAGGGGAAATTGGCCCTCCCTGGTGGCGCAGTGGGTTAAAGCACTGCACTAAGAAGCCAAAGCCACTTCCTCATGAGTTCGATTCCTGCCTGCCCCGGAGGTGACCACATGGCGTGGCAGACCTCTCCTGACCCGCCCGCTGCTCCCCTCAGCAGTGTACTTCGTTGATCTGCCTGTTCTGCTCCCCACTCTGTCTCTGGTGAAGCCTCTCACCGCCCCTGAGCCTCTGGCCTGTACCCCAGTTCTGTATGTACAAATAAATAAATCTTTAAAAAAAAAAAAAAAGGGGGAAATCTAAAGATTTATTTATTTATGCATACAGAACTGGGGTACAGGCCAGAGGTGCAGGGGTGGTGAAAGGATTTACCAGTGTCAGAGTGGGGAACAGAACAGGCAGATCAAGAAAGTACACTGCTGAGGGGAACAGCGGGCAAGACAGGAGAGTTCTGCCACATCATGTGGGTCATCTCCCTGGCTGGGAATCAAACTTACACTGAAGCGGCTATGACTAGCTTGCAGTGCTGCATCCTTACCCATTGCACCACCAGGGAGGGCCCTAGACTTCCCTTTCTTTACCTTTGACAACCAGCTAACTTTCTAGTATGGGGAGAACACAGTGGTGAATGTACCTTACCACCTAAAACATCAAAGGATCAAGTTCCACCTTTTCCTATATTAGGCACCAGAAAATAGTCGATCCTGTCAGTAAAGCACCAAACTCTGTCCGTCTAGTTGTAATCTTTTGAGGTCCTATTACATTCTTGGCATGGCTGAACCAATCAATGTTGGATAGCCCAACACACAGTGACACCTCGATTGCGTATGAAGACCAAGGACTTCAGCATCTCATTGCCCCTGAAGTCTCAGGTTACTCCTCAGTCATCATGCTGACCATTCACCTAGACAGTCAGAGCCCTTCCCATCAGAATTAATTAGAACATGGTACTACAGAGTCCTTTCCTTCCTTCCTCTTCACCCATTTTATTTCCTAATGAGTTCTACCAGCTTTTGGTTTCCACTAACGCCTGCGCCAACCTGGCGTCCCACAGCAGTATGCGATCTGTTCTATGGTTTAGACCCTTGGACTTTGTTTCTTGGCCTACTTAGCCATTCCAGAGCCCTACTAAAAGGAGCACTAGGCCAAGGATCTCTCTTGAGATGAGTTAAGACCAGCTTGTGCACTGTTCCAGAGCATCTCCTAAAACAGAGGCGGCAGCCTAGTTGGTACAGCATTGGGGAGAGTCACTGACTCAAGTGTGATAGTTTCCTGAGAATCTTATTCATGCCTAGAATGTATTGTGGCTGAAGAACAACAAATTTATATTTTCTTCCTAGTGCAATGTAGGTGTTTGTTTCCCTTAAAACTCTTGCTGCTGGCCAAAAAAGAAAAAGCAAGACAGGCATGAAAGAGTACAGACTGATTCTCTTATCTACAATAGAAAAGAAAATGTCAGTGTGTTTTTCTGCCAGAAAAACCTAAGTGTTGGCATCAACTTACTCAAAACTTCCTTGACTGTGCTTTGAAATCAGACACGGAAATGGAGTTATTCTGTTTATAGTTAGGGAAAAAAAGTATCATTGAAATGGTACAGAGTAAAATAGATTCTCCTATATATGCCAGTCATAAGAACATACAAATTTTAGACCTATTTCCTTGCCCCAAATACAAACGATCAC